TCCCAACGGGAGCTGCTGCGTATACAAGGTTTCGAACTCGAGAACTTGTTTAAACTGGAACAAGTCACTTACCACTTGATCTAACCCCTCGTTGACATGGGTTTTTGGTTATTCTCTTTTCTCACATTCTTGGTTAATTTGAAAATAAAGATTATCATTTTTTACATTTATTTAATTTAAAATGAACCATATCTTAAAGAAGATTCAATTTTTTGAGGAAGGTAAATCTTTTTTTTTTAATCTTAAATTTTACAATAAAAAGCAATTATCTTTTATTCATTAATTTATTTTACGTGAATACCATGCATCTTGAGCTCAAAGGGGTAAACCTTGTTATGGCGTATGTTAGCTAACTTGTAGATAGGTTAAATCTCCATTTAGTTCCTCTATTTTAGTAAAAAGTCTCTTGTTAGTCTTTCTACTTAAAAAAAATCCCTTTTTGATTACTAAAGTTTGAAATCCAATCATTTTTTAGTTTCTCCATTAAATTTTATATACGTGGTACATTAAATGACAAAAATTTCAAAATAAAGAAATAAAAAAAGATAAAAATAAGCCTAATTTGATCTTTTTACTTTGAAAAAAAAAAAATTTTTTAGGTTCATTTCTTTTGAAATGTTTATCCTCTAACGTTAAAACATAACAAAGAGACTAAAAAAGGATTAGATTTCAAATTTTTGGGATCAAAAAGAGGTTTTTTAAAGTAAAAAAATTGAAAAAAAACATTTTATCAAAATAAAAAAATCAAATTAAGATTTCAACGTTGTAGATATTACCTCACCGTCCGCTTTAAAAGTCAGCCAGAAACTCTTTCAATCAATGCCACTTTCGTAGGAGATGAAAGTTTGACTTATTTGTTGAATCAAACTTCCAAGAGGACACGGACCTTAAATTTGTGTAGGCCATTGATTATAATTCCATGTGAGGAGAATGTGGAAAGAAACAGATGAAGAACGTAACCGGATGCCTCCCCCTTTTTTTTTTTTTTTTTTTTTAAGGATAATTAATGAAAATTTTCTTTTTACTAACAATGTATTCAAGAATGTGGGCAGAAGTTT